TTAATCCTTAAAAGGTTATTAGAGCCCTAGCCAGTATTTCTCAGTGGTTAGAGCATCGGCCCATGGACCAAACTGTCATGGGTTTGATTCCCGGTCAAGGGCATTGTATATGGGTTGCAGGTTTGACCGCCAGCCCCATTCGGGGCCTGTGAGGGAGGCAACCAATCCATGTGTCTCTCTCTCCTCTCTTCCCCTCTCCCTCTACTCCCTCCCTTCCACTCTCTCCAAAAATCAATGGAAAAAAGGGTTAGGATTAGCAACAGCAGCAACAAAAGGTTATGAGGTATCAGTATTATTAATATCTCAGTTTTCTAAATGAAAAAATTGAGGCATAGCAAGGTTAAGCCTACACTCTTAATCATTATGCTATGCTGAATCACTGAAATAAAATCAACTGTCAGATATAACCTCATTTATTACATTTAAAAAAGGAAAATGATCAAATATAATGTGTCACTGAGAAGAAACATATAATTTTTATCGTGTTATAAATTGTAATCATTTTTAAGTACATTTTCTTACAGGCGCAACCAAAATGTATTATAACCTTTAATAAGATTTATTGCAAGAAAATAATTCAGAAGGGAAAAAAGTTCAAGGGTGTTAATTTGCTGTTTGTAATAATGTTCAAGGATAAATAACTGGCATACCCACAATTGGAATGAAGGAAATGAACATTAAATGAATTCTTGCACCATTGCTGGCATTTTTCTAGTCATTCACTTGGTTTTTTTCAAATGTTATGTCCCACAATAACCTTATAGAGTAGATGGTATTGTCATTTTTACAGAAGAGCAAACTGAGGGTCAGGCAAATGTAAGGGATCCAGATCTTTCTTGAACCCCCAAAATCAGGCCCTTAACAATATCATGAGGATAGTACAACGTTATACGTCATTAACAATTGTAAGTATGTAGGCGTGGGAATCAATGTGAAAACACTTTTTAATCATCACCCGAGAACAGGCTCAGAGAGAGAGAGAAAGAGAAATGAGAGAGAAACATCAATCCACTGCCACCCGCACTTGCCCTGACCAGGAATCGAACCTGCAACCTAGATATGTGCCCTGACTGTGCATTGAACATACATCCTTCTGATGCACGGGACAACAATCCAACCAATTGAGCCACCAACCAGGGCAATGTGAAAAACATTTTAATTTATAAAACCTTCAGTATGTACACATTTGATCTATGTAAAGATGATCATTAAAATCAAGAATTTTATCTGATAGAATTGTTTTAGGGACTTTATTCTTTTTAAATCAAAATATACTCTGTAAAACAGCGGTCACCAACGGGTAGTCTGAGTGGTCCGCGAAGTCCGAAAGGTTGGCGACCACTGCTTTAAAATGTGCATCGGGGCTAGTTCTACTGTCCTGTCCTACTCAACACTTAGCCCTAAATTTATGCAGATTCATGTATTCACAAATTATGTACTTATGCTTCAGGTCTAGAGAAATGTAGGGTATTACATTGTTCTCGAATAATAAGATTTGATCTGATAAGATGGCAATGTAATGTAGTAGCTAAGAACTTCAACTCTGGAGTCAGCCAGCTTAGGTTTGAATCCCAGCCCTATTACTAGCTATGTGACATTGGGCAGGTCCCTTTTCTGTTTCTCCACCACAATTTTTATTTTTTTAAGATTAAATGAAAATATGAAGGTTTAGCAGAGTCTGGCATATAATAATCTCTCATTATGCTGGCTGCTATCCTTGTAAACATCATCATCATTATCAATTTCTAAGAGTAGATTTTAATTGAGATCAGAATTGAAGTCTATTAGATTGCACTAGGTTTCTATGGTTGCTTCATAAGCCACCAAACACTTAATTGCTTAAAACAACAACCATAATAATTGCTAGCTCACAGTTCTTTGGTTTGGTAACTTGGACTTAGCTCAGCTGGGTGCTTGGGCTGGGCTGAGCTCCCCTATTCTTGGTTGGGCTTGCTAACATATATGGGGCCTCCTTCTGCTTGGTGTCTCATTCTCAAGTGGGCTAGCCTGGGGCTATCACATGTGTCAGTAGACTGCCCAGCTGGAGACTGGAAGAGGCTTGACCTCTTGAAGTCCAGACTCAGGTTTCTAACACCCAAGTGTCATTTCGGCTGCATTCTACTGGTCACAAGGTTAGCCCAGATTTAGAGGATGGGCAGTAATGTTAAGTTCACTTTTTGTTGGGAGTTGCTACAGGGATTCTGATTTTTTAATCTGCCATATAGACTAACAGGAAACTGTTTCATGCTGATTGAGATCAACAGATTGACTATTGATAAGGAATAAAAAAGATTATAGTTAAATGTCAGCATTTTTAAAACTCAATAATACAGCGTACTCATAAAAATAAATTAGTTTTTATACAATTGAGAACTAAAACTTAAAAACTCTCAGAAATTAAATTTGTCTTGTTTTTAGGAAATTTTCCCTTTTAGGGAAATTATAATAAGAATATATGTAATTATTTTTTCAATTCTCCCTAAAAGGTAAAACTACTTAAAAAGTAACCAAATATGCCCGGCTGGTGTGGCTCAGTGTTTCAGGTTGACCTATAAAGCAGAAGGTCATGGTTCAATTCACGGTCAGTGCACATGCTTGGGTTGCAAGCTTGATCCCCGGTGGAGCGCATGCAGGAGGCAGCTAATCAATGACACACTCATCATTGATATTTCTATCTCTCCCTCCCTCTCCTTGCCTCTCTGAAATCAATTAAAAGTTTATATTAAAAAAATAACCAAATACTATTTTTTACCTTCCCCAAATTAACAAAGGACAGTTTTTTAAGTTTGCAAACTTACTATATATCATATAGCATTCAGCCTATTTAATCTCAGGTGGTATATTAATAAGAAGTGAAGTAATTTGTGTCAAATACAGTAGGTCAAGCACTATGATTAAAAACTTTCATGCCGAAACCGGTTTGGCTCAGTGGATAGAGCGTCGGCCTGCGGACTGAAAGGTCCCAGGTTCGATTCCGGTCAAGGGCATGTACCTGGGTTGCGGGCACATCCCCAGTGGGAGATGTGCAGGAGGCAGCTGGTCGATGTTTCTCTCTCATCGATGTTTCTAACTCTCTATCTCTCTCCCTTCCTCTCTGTAAAAAATCAATAAAATATATAAAAAAAAAACAAAAAAAAAACTTTCATTCCTATGAAGAATTGAATTCAGGATTCATCTATACTCTTCTGCCTGAGTTGTTTCTAAATAAAGGTAGGTTGTTAAATAAGGCAAGTCTAGACAGAATCTAGCAACTTTGCTTAACCTAAATATACATTTATTTGCAATGTTTTATTAAACTACAAAAATTAAATGCAATAATTTTAGGGTTCTTTGAACTAAATTCTATCAAAAGTAAAAATGCAGTGATTCATAGGCACAGATCTTAATTTCTAAAAATTCTTTTACATATATTTTAATTTCACACAGGTTACTCTCAGCTTTTCATTCTTAATAATTAGGGTCCTTAATTATTTCTTTAGTTTATGTGAGCTGAAACAGCAGAGAAGAAATACAACAGTAGGCCAAAAGACAGTGAATCTTAATAAAGTGATTCTGCCATATTTTCAAGGGCACTTTTGAGTCTTTTTTAAAATATATTTTTATTGATTTCAGAGAGGAAGGGAGTGGTATAGAGAGATAGAAACATCAATGATGAGAGAGAATCATTGATCAGCTGCCTCCTGCACACCCCCCACTGGAGATTGGGCCTGCAACCCAGGCATGTGCCCTTGGCCAGAATCGAACCTGGGAGGGACCCTTCAGTCCGCAGGCTCTACCCACTGAGCCAAACCAGCTAGGACCATTTTTGAGTCTTTAAATAGAAGTCTCAGTAGAAAATTTAACTCACTAGTACTTGCATGACATGAACAGTTTTTTATTCTTTTGCATAGTATGTTGGGATGAGAGTTTTAGAAAACTAGGATATTGTGTGTTTTTTTAAAATATGTTCTTATTGATTTTTGGAGAGAGAGGAAGGGAGAAAGATAGAGAGAAACATCGATGAGAGAAACATCGACCGGCTGCCTCCTGCATGCTCACTACTGGTGATTGAGCCTGCAATCCAGGCATGTGCCCTGACCAGGAATTGAACCAGTGACTTCTTGGTTCCTGGGTCGATGCTCAACTGCTGAGCTACACCAGCCAGGCAACTAGGATATTCTTGTGTTGTTAAAAGCACAATGTAAAATCATTGTAAGAATAGTATCTTGGGTTGTTTGGTGTATTGAAGTATAATTATATGAGTATCTTAATAGTTCATTTGTATTGATTCTGGTTAAATTTATACTTCTTAATCCTGGCTTTACAAGCTTCCCAATCATCTATGGAACATCTATAAGAAAGTTCCAGGCTTCTGATCTGGCAGGTGCCATCATAGCATTGGCCATGATGAAATCTTGCTGTTCATAATGGCAGATGTATAACAAAAAGTAACACACTGGCGCTAATCCAATCTTCTGAAGTTGATTTTTAAATGCTAATGTTTTATCTTTATTAGGAGACAGAAATCCTAGTTTAAAACTCATGCAGCAAGTTTGTATAAAGTGATATCTTGAAATAGGTAAACATTAAGAAAGCAGCAACAACAAAAAGTATAATCTTAGAAGCTGTTGTAAAAGAAATACTAATACTGTTTAAATTTATGGAAGTGATTGTTATAATCAAATATGAAAAATAAACACTAATTATGATATTTACTATTAAACATCATTTGTTTTCTTGATATAACATAGAAATGGGGTTTATTATTATTTCAATGTTAAAATATGAAAATTTTGAATAAAATTTTACTATATCATAATGTAGTTCCTTTTCTCTTTTCCCACTTGAGTTCTAACAAATTAGTTAGGCATGGAATATCTAAATTTAGCCTGTAATCTCTGGTCATTTAAATTGTTTCACTTTTGAATTTGTTAAAGTTATGATATTCCCTTTGTACCTTCTGTTTCTGGTTACCAGCTGGACTATTAATATGGAAGTGGATTTTGCATATTGTTTTTCAGCTGACTACCTGGCTCAGGCATTTGATTCTCTTTGTTTGGACTTGAAGACAGATGAAGGAAAAATCTTATTTTTGGAGTATCAAGCTGTTCCAGTAATATTAAATCACCTAAGAATATCCAGTAAAGGGCTCTTATCCAATGTCATTGATAGTTTGCTTCAGATGACAGTGGAATCCAGTAAGTTTTAAAGTTTTATATACATTAAAGAAATTATGGTGGGATGATTTTTCTCATTTGTTCTGAATATATAATTCTACATATCAGATACCATTGTATTTTATAGTAGAAATGCTTTAAAATATTTTAATAGTTGTATATTAGAGTCATTAATAGCATCACTAAGTTATAAAACCTAACCCTTTGTCCAGATTTTCACTAACTTATTATAATTTCCAGTAGTCATCTCAGTTATGTGGATATACTTTGCAAATGTTACTCATATACTCAAGCTTCTTTCTTGTTTCTCTTGTCTCATCATTCTGACAGATCTGTTCTTATATTTCCTGTTTTCTCAGAGTGAGATAACCAAATGTTTCTTCACTTAAAGTGAGCACAGTGACAGCCATTGTCCTGTTGTTGCCTCTTCACCCTTCCTGTTTTTTGTTGGAGGCTACTCTTTTATATTCATATTTGTAATATTTTGTAGCCTGTGGGGGGTTTTATATTGATACTAGAGGCCCGATGCACAAAATTTGTGCACTGGAAGGGGAGTCCCTCAGCCCAGCCTGCACCCTCTCGCAGTCTGTGACCCCTTGGCGGACATCCTTCTCTCAATTGGGGCTCTCGCAGTCTGGGACCCCTTGCTTCTTACCGCCCACCTGCAGCAGAAGCAGGAAAGGCTCCCTCCACTGCCGTTGTGCTTACCAGCTGTGAGCCTGGCTTCTGGCTGAGTGGCGCTCCCCCCTGTGGGAGCGCACTGTCCACCAGGGGGCAGCTCCTGCATTGAACGTCTGTCCCATGGTAGTCAGTGCACGTCATAGCGACCGGTCGTTCTGCCATTTGATCGATTTGCATATTAGGGTTTTATTATATTGATACAACTAGTTCTTTTGTTACTGGTGGTTCCTAATTTAGCACAGATATGTATAGGGATGTTTACCATAAATACTAGCTTTGGTTGCCTTAGCTCTTTCAATCTAGAGTAACCCCTTGACTTGTAACAAGCAGTCATTTTACTTCAATAAATTCTTTTTCACTGTAGTTTGTCCTTTTACCTATTCCTCTTCCCTCTAGCACTGCTAAAATTAAAATGTTAATGCCTTCCAGAAAGTGGAAAGTAAAACTGGAAAGCCATTTTTCAGTGTGGTAGTAAGCAATCTATCTTACTTGATGCTCCATGCTGGTGAATCCCTAATGGCTGGGTGCAAAGCGTGGTTATACTTCTAACTAGGTACCGTTGGTATATGGTTTCACATTTTCAATTTCCTGTTATATACAATTTTATTTCCTTTTACAACATCCCTCTGAAGGATGCCTAATAGGAAAACTGGGGCCTGGAAAAATTAGGTAACTTGTTCATGAATTCCACAGCTATAGAGAGGTAGAACTCAGACTTGAAACCAGGTCTCTGATTCTGGATGTAAAGTGCATTTTATCATATATCACCATGAAAAGGTTTTCCAGGTTTGTTTGTTTTCTCTAGCCCCAAAATGTCATATTTTCACTGATCTATTTTGCTAATATTTTTAGCCATTTGTTACCATTAAGATAATTGATTATAGTTGGGGAACTAGCTACCTAGGTAAGTAATTTAATGTATAAATTTAAAGTATAGAGCAAAAAGTGAAAAATTAGTAAACTGAGAGACAGAGACCCAAGATTACTTGTTTAAGTGTGTAGATTTCCAACTAGTTTTGCAAAATTTTTGTTTAATGAGAAAGACAAAAATCCTACCAGATGCAAATATCTATTCATCGAAAACAAATCTGTCTGAATATGTCTGTTGTAGGTGAAATCTTGTAGCCAAAGAAAAACTAAGTAAAATTTTAGGAAACAGTGGGCCTGCTTGGGTGAAATGACTTTGTGGCACCATAATGTTCATATTTGGAGAAATAATTTTACCATAGATTAGTCAATAGATGTTCAGTTCATTTACATTTCTTTACCCTCATTCAAGTTATGTTCAAATCCAAAGTTATCATTTCTTGCTCAGTTTGAGTAAATGAAGCAAATACTAGTGTGGATTGCTAGAAAGCCATGTTGTTTTTAGTGATGGGAAACTTTTGGAAGTTCCATAACGGGAAGATCTTTGATATTTATATAAATTTTCTTGATATATTTTCTATTTTTAATAATCTAGTACCTGGTATTAGTGAGCCAACAAAATTCGTTAAAGGGGTAAATGAATGATAGATGAATGCAGAAAATACTTCTCTAGCTATTGGTTTTACATTTTTTCTTTCTAGATTTGAGATGGGAAACTCATTTCACTACATACATAATTTCCACATGCTATTTTTTTAAATTCATATGGAAAAGTTGTTGGAAAAGAAATCTTGGTAGAATTGATTTGCAGATGCTTATCTCACCCATCTAATGTGCATTAGTAGCCAGCTGTGTGTGTGTAGCACTGTGTTTCAAGCACTGTGTTTGCAATACTCTGCTGAACACTGGGGCTTCCTTTGAAGCCCTTTGGAGCTTCAGAGCAAGGAGCTGGAGCTAGGTGTCATGGGCTGACATCTAGCCCTGCACTACCCAAAGTGCCTACTACTGATTACCCAGGAAATCAGTATGGAAAGTATTTAAAAACCTATATAGTAATTTAATAGTAACTTTATGTCTGTTAAATCCAATTTAATAATTTAAAACATTTGGACTTGTATTTTGTATATTTGTTTTATTTCATTTTCTGTTGTTTTTTAATGGTATTGTAAAAAGATAAACTGAGACACATTACATTTTGAAAAGTTTATTTGAGCAAATGATTTGAATGGGCAGCACCAAAACTGAAAATGATTCAGGGTACTCCACAGGTGGGACCTGGGGCAAAGGTTTTAATAGCGAAGATATGGGGGAAAAAGCAAAGCAAGTAATTGGCTATAGCTTAAATATTTGCCTTTTTTGGGGAAATTTAGTGATTTGGCTGTTATAATAATTGTTCTTGAGTTTGATTTTCTCAGGTTCAAGAAAATCTAGTTGAATGTTTATGATTAGTTGTTTTTGAGTTTTGTTTTCTTAGATTCAAGTACATTGACTCTGGCTTAGGTTTTATTTGTTAAGCTGTGCTACAGAAAGCATTAGAGCAGTGGTTCTCAACCTTGGCTGCACATTAGAATCACCTGGGAATCTTTTTAAAATCCTGATTTCTGGGCCTCATCCTCCGGAAATTCTGTTTCTTTGTTATGGGATGGGGCCACAACATTAGTAACAAAGAAACAGAATTTCTGGAGGATGAGGCCTAGAAATCAGGATTTGAAAAAGATTCCCAGGTGATTCTAATGTGCAGCCAAAGTTGAGAACCACTGCCCTAGGAGCTGTATCGGTAAAGATACTGCTAAGACATTCGTCTGCTATTTTGCTGCCTATGGATTCTTACAAGATTTTTATGGTTTCCCATCTTATGTTTAAGTCCTTTATCCATTTTGAGTTTATTTTTGTGTATGGTGTAAGTTGGTGGTCTAGTTTCATTTTTTTCTTTTTTTGCATGAACTGTCCAATTTTCCCAACACCATTTATTGAAAAGATTATCTTGACTCCATTGTATGCTCTTGCCTCATTTGTCAGCTATTAATTGAGCATAATGGCTTAGGTCTATTTCTGGGTTCTCTGTTCTGTTTCATTGGTCTATATGTCTGTTCTTGTGCCAATACCATGCAGTTTTGAAAACAGTGGCTTTGTAATATAGCTTGATATCTGGTATTGAGATCCCTCCTACTTTGTCTTCTTTCTCTGGATTGCTGCAGCTATTCGGGGTCTTTTTTTATTCCAGATGAATTTTTGGAGAATTTGTTCTAGGTCTGTGAAATATTCGGTTGGTATCTTAATGGGGATTGCATTGAATCTGTAGATTGCTTTGGGTAGTATGGACATTTTAATGATGTTGGTTCTACCAATCCATGAACACGGTATATTCTTCCATTTGTTTATGTCTTCCTCTATCTCTTTTTTCAACGTCCTGTAGTTTTCTGAGTATAGGTTTTTGACCTCCTTAGTTAAGGTTATTCCTAGGTATCTTAATTTTTTCGGTGCAATGGTAAATGGGATTTTTTTTTAGTTTCTCTTTCTGTGAGTTCATTATTGGTGTATAAAAAAGCCATAGATTTCTGGGTGTTAATTTTCAGTTAATTTTGTATCCTGCTGCATTGCCAAATCCATTTATTAAGTCTAGTAGTTTTTTTGATGGAGTCTTTAGGGGTTTCTATGAATAGTATCATGTCATCTGCAAATAATGACAATAATACTTATTCTTTTCCAATTTGGATGCCTTTTATTTCTTCTTCTTGTCTGATTGCTATGACTAGCATTTACAGTACTGTGTTTAACAGGAGTGATGAAATTGGGCATCCCTGTCTTGTTCCTGTTCTTAGGGGAAATGGTTTCAGTTTTTGCCCATTGAGTGTGATGTTGGCTGTAGGTTTGTCACATATGGCCTTTATCATGTTGAGATATGCTCCCTGTATTCCAACTTTGCTGAGAGTTTTTATCAAAAATGGGTGTTAGATTTTGTCGAATGCTTTTTCTGTGTCTGTTGATATGATCATGTGATTTTTGTCTTTCAATTTGTTTATGTGATATATCACATTTATTGATTTACGAATATTGTACCAGCCTTGCATCCCTGGAATAAATCCCACGTGATCATGGTGTATGATCTTTTTAATATATTTCTGGATGTGATTTGCTAATATTTTGAGAATTTTAGCATCTATGTTCATCAGGGATATTGGCCTGTAATTCACTTTCTTTGTAGTGTCTTTATTTGGTTTTGGTATTAGGATAGTGCTGGCCTCATAAAAAGAGTTTGGAAGTGTTCCTTCCTCTTGGATTTTCTGAAATAGTTTGAGGAGTATATGTGTTAGTTCTTCTTTGATTGTTTGGAAAAATTCCCCTGTGAAGCCATCAAGACCTGGTCTTTTGTTTGGTGGGAGTTTTTTGATTACTGCTTCTATTTCATCAGTTGTTACTGGCCTGTTCAGTTTTTTTTTTAATTCTTCCTGATTCAGTTTTGGGATATTGTA